CTTAACCTTCCTATCATGGAGTAAATGATTAGATCAAGGGAAATGTTGTGTATGGTGAGACTTACGTTAGTAAATCATTTTATGAATTTTTTCAAATATTCATTTCTTTCTTGCCCTTGCTCTTAGAGGGTAAGAGATGTTGGTCGATGTAGTCTTGTGATTACAAAGTTAGCTCAAAACTTATAAGTCAACATTTTAAAGGATTTTATTGACCCGATAGGTAGATCATAAAACCATTTAAGTGTTACCCCTTTTAAAGTCATAGGAAAAAATCGACCTAGGAATTTATCATTCTCACCGAATATAGTGATTTGTGTTAAGTAGGACTGAATTACTCATTCAAGTCTATTCCTTCTCCAAACCTCTGGGTGACAATTGATACCATGATTAGGATTGTTACCTAGAGAAAATATAGTGTCTTAAGGGTGGTGATTGATACCTCAACTAATATTAGTATCTCAATATCTCAAAGGATATCTTGTTAGAACACGTAACTATTTTTCTATTTCATCATTTTGCTTTATAAGACATTCATTTCTTTCTTGTGTTTTCACTTGATTCTTTTGAGTTTTACACGAACATTTATCTTCTTCTTTTTTGCATTTCTTTCATATGAGATTTGGAGTGATTGATAATGTCATTAATTATGGAATATACCTTGAGATATGTTTCACTAGACCCCATGATAGGTGTCAAATATTTTTGCCAAAATATGATAATAATAATAATAATAAATAAGTAAGGTAAAGACAATCAATAAGTTTGGACAATTTGATCAAGACAACTCGTCACATTGAAATCTACTAAGCCGAACTTTGTTAAATATTGGACAAAGAGGGAAGTCCACTTAAAAAAACACGGATGCTTAAGTTATAATAATAAAAAAAATATTTTATAAAAAATAAAATGATCTTATTTATATGCCTCTTACATAATATTTTAAGTAATAAATTATATTCATCGCTAATAATTATCCTTTAAATATAATATTATGTATAATTATTACTTATATATTATTATCATGATATATATTTAAATAGATTAATTACAAATTTCCATTTAAATATAGTAAATATAATAAATATGAAAATCTAATCAAATATAATCTCAAATTTATGGACAATTTACTTATTAATAAAAATTTATCATAGAACATTTAGTTTGTGTTTACATGAGAGTGAGGACTTGAGAGAGTGAATTTGAGATGATTTGAGTGGATTTGTGGGGTTGTTTAGATTAAAAGAAATATAGTGGATTTGAATGAATTTATTATAGTTGATGTGATTGATGTAATTGAATAATAATATTTTAAGTATAATGACCAAATTACGCTTATGAGGTAGAATGGATCAATTAAGTAAAAATTAAAGGTGTAATTATTAAAAAATTACATTTATTTTTAAAATTAGATATAATAAAATTTAATTTGAGTGAATATTATATTGATTTTAAAATTATTTTTTGTTTTTATAAAATTTATCGATTTTGATAAATATAATATTTTAAATTCATAATCTAATTTAAAAAGGAAGAAATTTTATTTTTTTATACTTTAAAAAATGTAATATTTATTTATGAATTTTTATTTTAATAAAATTAATAAAAAAGTTAAATATAATTTTAATATTTTCTATATCTAAATGTAATATTAATATTTTTTTTATTAAAATCAATAAAATGATTAAACTTTTTTTAGTTCTAAAAATTATTTATTAAATTTTAAAATAAAAAGACAAAAAAAATTGTACTAAAAATGACATAATTATACTCGATTATGCAATGCTCCATAATTGATTATTCCATGATTATGCAGTAACGGGGTGTTTTGAACAATTTACCTCATCTTTCTTACAAAACAAGACATTTCTTCTTTTAAATATGAGGGTTTCACACTGAATTCCACACATAAATTCATGCAAATTTATTGAAATCCACACATACAAAGAAGGGTGCATCCACCCAAATCTCTCCTCACAAATTAGCTTAAATAAATTGATAGAAAGAAACAAGGGCTTAATGTTTTGCGATGCATTTGAGCACTTGACTTTTTGATATATAAAACATTATCGAATTAAAGTTTGTAGGATTTAACTAATATTGTTTTTCTAATCAATCTTATTAATAATATATTTTTAAAAAATTAATGAAATAGAATTAATATAAGTTTATTAATTATTTATACACAAAATTTAATAATGAAAAATAAATTAGTCTAACATAATATATTTTTGACTTTCTTAATTTATATTTTTAATTTTCTCTCTTTTCATTTACTTTATATTGTTATTTTTTCCCTTACTTAGTGTTTGTTTTATTTTCTTGTTCTCTTTTTCTCTTTTGTTTTTCTCTCCCCTATTTTATTCTTCTAATTAAAAATACTATATTGAAATTTAATGAAATAAGTCCTTTATTATATTTATGTTATAATTATTAGGAAATAAATTAAATATATATTTTGAAGTAAACTTTGTTAATAAATATTTTTTTAAATTACCTAATTATAACTAGATTAAATTATCAAATAAAAAATATATTTAATTCTAATATTTTTTAATTAGATAAATAATTAATTTATTATGATAAAGTATTGTCATTATAAATTTTTATCTATTATCATCATAATTTTAAATAATTAGTTGATATTTTTTAAGTTTCTTAATTTTAAAAAAATATTTTAATATGATGTTATTAAATTTCAATATAATAGTTTTAATTAAAAGAATAAGTGAGAGAAGAGAGAAAGAAAATATGTAAAAAATAAGACAAAAATAATGAGTAAACGAATAAGGGAGAGAAAATATAAAAACTTACACAGCTAAATAAGAAATGAAGAGTGGACAAGATTGATTATTGTTTTCCTGTCTTTCCCTTTGTACTTTGAAGTTCCTTTTTAATCCAAAAATGTTTTTTTTTTTAAATTGCCAACTTGTGTCTCCTAAATAAGTTACACTTCAAGAAATCAGCTAGAAAAAGGATGGTACACTTATTTAAAATCAAGAACCTAATTCGTGTCATTCTATGCTAATTATAGTGTAAATTAGAATTACATATGAAAAAAAAATATTTGTAACAATTAACTAATTTAATTGTATTTTGAGTGTCTTTAGTTTAAATTATATTTAATAGTTTAAATCTAAAAAGAAACTGAGTTAAATGTTTCTCCTTATTTTATAATTAAAAATAGTTTTCGTTTTCAAATATCTACTATTTACAACTCAAATTGTTGTTTTTGTGTAATTATTAGATATTTGTAATTATTTAGGTAAAATATTTAATAAAATTATGTCAAAACTTAAATAAAGACAAATCTATAAAACAAAAATTACATAATTATGATAGCCGATACACAAATTTAACTAAGCGAAAGAAGAAGAAGAAGAAGATTGAACCAAAAATATAAGTTTTTAATTAACCAAACTAATTTAAACTAAACTCGGTAAATATATAAGTTTAATTTTACAGTTATACACTAGTAGATGCCCTTTCTAGGCCTTAGAAATCTTCTATTCTCGTCGTTAATTAATACTTTGTGAATGACCTCTTTTAATTTTATTTTATTTTCATGGCTAGAAAGTTGAAAAGATTGATCATCCTTCTAGCCACGGATCTTTCATTCTCATTGCAAATTCGAGGACGGGAAGAACCTAATTAATAATCGATTTTTTTTTTTTTGTAAGCAGTGTCTTTGTTGTACCTAGTGGTAGAACGAATGAATAAGAAAATTATAATTTAGATTACGATGGATAAAAAATACTTACTAATATATTTGATATGTTAAAAAATATTTAATAGATATGACGAATCTCGATTCATTTGATAAAAATTGTATTAAAGTTCTTAATTAATAATTTTTTATGAATATAATATCCAATCCATATATATATATATATATATATATATATATATATATATGAAACCAGTGAATTATATTTTAAAATTAATTATTTTTTATTTACTAAACCAAATTTTATTTAAAGCAATTTTTTGAAATATATTTGGTAATTTAAAATTTTAAAAATTATTTTCAAAAGTTAAAAAAAATTAATGACAAAAAAGTTTTGGATCTATTAAATAATTTAAAAAGATCATTAGATTTAGCAAAATAATAGAAGATCCATTATCCATGTTATGACACAAATAATAATTAACAGTGAATTCCTTTTTGACTCAAGCTAGCAATTAATTAAAAGTTGTGAAATATTACAAGTAGAAATGATAAGCAGAGGTGTAGAGTTACGAAACAAATGGTAAACTTTTCAAAACGAAACTAATTCACTCTCAATAAAACACACAGTAGCATAGTGTCCACCTCCTTACAGGCATACATGCATGCTTATTATTTTGGTACGAAGTACGTAGAGATCACAGACTACTTATTTATTACACAAATTAAAGCACTTTAAACCATCTCCTATCATTTGAGTAAACCACTGATTGAACCAGCGTAATTCCTTAATCACCACCACCTTGGCCGTAACCCTCACCATGGCCATAACCCTCACCATGACCATAGCCTGAGCCCCCGCTGCCACCACCGCCACCGCCACCTCCACCACCGCCTCCGCCGCCACCACCTCCCCTTCTGCCAGATCCTGATCCAGCCCGAGAGCCAGCATACGAACCAGCTTCGGAGCCAGCTCCGGAGCCACCAGAGCCAGAACTGGAAGATGAAGATGCTGAACTTGAGGCAGAGCTAGAACTCGAACCGGAACCAGAACCGGACCCTGCTCCAGCTCCAGCTCCAGAGCCACTACCACCTCCTATTCCCAGGCCCAACCCTACCCCAAGTCCAACCCCCAACCCACCAAGGTCCAGACCCAAGTCCTTCCTGGCCACTCTACTTTCTGATGCAATAGCTGACACAAAAAATATCAGTGCAAGCAGACAACATGACCAAGATGCGGCCATTTGTGTGTAACGTAGTTTGCCAAGTAACGACGAAAGTAGGTAAAGAAACTCAAATGTTACATCAAACTAACTTTGCAGGTTGTGTAGTAGTGATGTCTCTTGCTATGGCTCTCTCTGAAGAGGCCTTCAAGGGTTGTCGAGTATTTATAATTGCTGAATGTGTTGAAGATGATGCCTTGGTTAGTACTTAGAAGTGCCTTAGTGGAAGAGGGAAAACATTGTAGAGGGCAGAGTGTGAACTAGTGAATATATTATTTTATGTTTGAGGGCTGGAAAGTGGAAATGATGGCGTGGCATTCTTGATTTTGGATGGAGAAAAGCTTGTGGTTGACATAGCTTCTTCATCTTGCACATCACATGTTTCAGGACAAGTGCCAATGCATTAGCTACCCATTATGGCCACTCTCATAGTGGAGGATGAAAGGCTGTTTTGTTGTTGACTATGGTGTTTTTCTTCATTAAAAGTAATTTAATTTTTGTGTGTGGCCAGCTCATGGCCGGTTATGGGTGAGGTAGGGGTCTGCTTTTTGTTTGCTCGAGGTGCCACCTTAATAATTTTCGTGTATTGCTCACGTTACTGTCTCATTAGCTGCTTAGTCTTATGTTGTTGTTTTGGAGTGCATCCAAACTCAGTTTCATTGCTTATATGAGTTGTGATTCTTTCTATTTTTATTTTTTAGCTGGTGCTAGAAGCAATCTATCTATCTAACTCTATATTGCTAAAGAGAATCATATTCTTATCTTATCTATATATCCAAACCATAAACAAGCACAACCTATTCTCATAATTTTTTTGTCTCAGTCTTTTTTCCCACCTTTTAAGGTGTAGACTAACTTTAATCGTGATGTCCATAGAAATTTTTCTTTGACACTGAAAAGGCTTCATCTTTCAATTATTCATTTTAAAATATCCTCATATTTTCCTTGATGAAATCCTAGTGAAAAATAGGAAAATATAGTCGATATGCAGAAAGAAAAAAGGGAAATTAATGTGATGAGTGATCAGAGGACAAATAAATCAAGAAAAATAATGGATGTGAACGAGATGGTTGTATGTCTACTTATTTTCTATAATAACAAAATATGCTTATTTATTTTACGACATAAGTATTATAAGACATGTTAGTACTGATTTTATAACATTAAATATGCAATTATGCAGTCGATAATTTTGAAGTTAATGATCAAATATCTATTCGTTAGGATGATTAAGAAAATCGGTAAGAATCAAATCTCATTTATTGAATTATAAAAAAAATGATAAAAGAAAACAATGAGGAACAGTATAAGTAAATATAAAAAAAAAAGATAATTGTATTAAAGTTGGTCAAATGATTTGTAAGCTGCAAGATGTTTGAAAGCAAGAAAGATATTACAAGGTTGCAATACTTAAAGAGAAATTATTACTAAGACGATATAGAGTGAAAACTGTAAGAAATATAATGTGATAACATCATGAGCTTCAAATTTAGTAGATTATGACTAGATTGCCAAGATAAATACTTAAACAGCATTACTAAATTTGTATTATTATTTAAACTTTAGTACTAAAATATAATTAAGTGGAATGGAAGGACGTATTTAGTGACCCATTTCTATCTTATCCTGAAAACAACTAACAGATATTATTATGTTATGAAGCACTAGCTCCAAAATTCTTTAAGTTTATATAGTAAAAAATATAGCATGTATAAATATATGCATAGTCCGATCTGTCAAAAAAAAAAAAAAACGTTTTGCCGTAACAAAGATACTACTCCACCAAATACTTACTTCTTTAGTTCCTCTTGTCCTTGAGTCTCAGATGGGAATGAAAATTTTCCAAGTGACTTGAAAGAGCATCCATCTTTTCTACTTTCTAGCATGAAACAAAGAAGAAGATTAAGACATCATCAATGTGTGTAACTTCTTTTGAAAATCTAAAATAAAAATTAATTATATTACCTTAAGATATCATTGGCGATAATAAATCATCATTAATTTATTTTAATAAAAAGAAATTAATAATTTTTTTAAAAAATTGTTTTTTTTTCTTGTTTTTTTTTTTATAAATTACATGATGAAACAATTATAAAAAAATATATGAAATTTCTCTAATAAATTAGTGTTTTAATTAAGCATCTTAATAATTAACTATCATTAAATATGTTTTTAGTGTATAAATTCAAAATAATGACAATTGAATTAAATTAAATTAGAAAAAAAAACTATATAAGAAAATTTCCAGCAATAATTTTTATTGGGTTCTTAATTACTATCTAAGTCTATGGTTGTAGGAGACTAAGTTGAAAATCATGGTGTGAGAACAGTTTTTAATGTTAATGCTTTTTAACACAAAGTATACGAGTGTAAGGTAGGTAATATATTTCAAGTTCTTAGGTAGATTATAATTAGTTTAAAAAGTACAAAAATCTGATATGAACCAAAAATAGGATCTTACATTTTCAAACATGACAATTCTAATTCGAAGACCTAAATATCTTTTTTCTTTATTTTATTAACATTTTAAATAAAGACTTATGCTGCTTAGAATTTAAATTTCAGATTTTTTTAAAGTATTTTGTGTTGATAAGTACTTCTTTAGAAAATAACAAATATATGTACAAATTCAAAATTGAATCAGATAATTGAATAAGAATAAATTAATTTGAATTCTATTAAGAATGTTCAAGTTAATTTTACTAAAATATTTGAAAAGCCAACTTAAGTAAATATTAATTAATTTAAATTTTATTTTTTGTTTAGTCTGATATAATCCTCTCAAAGAATTAAGCATACTTACAATGACTTGTTTGAGACAACAATGGAAAACTTCATCCGAACTTCCATTAAAGGATGTTGAACAAGGATAAAATTTTCGGTAGTTACGATGAACCTTGGTTGCTTTTCTAGATTGTTCTCGTGCCTTTTATATCTTCAACATGTTTTAGTGGTTTTGCTATTAGGAAAACATATCCTTAATAGTTTTTTTCTCTAGAATTTGAATACGGTGCCAATCATATATCCTACGATTCATTGTGTTTAGGTGAGTGGGATATTCTGCTGTTAATGGCCTCATATCAATGATAAAAAACAGTGTAAGTATTGGATATATTATTATATGTTAAATATTTAAAGAAAACTATTATTTGTGATGATTTTATTGAATTGAAAAATATGTGAAGGATAGATGTCCACTTGTAGCAAAAATATAATGAAAAATGGTGCAAATATTCTCTGGGACAAAAAGGCTGCAAGTGACACCCCCACTTCGTAATGTCCTACTATGCACGCCTCATACTTTAACACATGCTTCAAGACCTTCTTAGGTAAACTATCAATTCTCAGCTATAAATAGCATGCATCTCAGCGCCTCTTTACAAAAATTTCTCAACCACTCATCAACTCATCTTAGGTAGGTAGATATCTGATCTCACTACATTCACCCTAGTGTGCTTTAGTTAATATTGATCCTTGTCAATGGCCTCTACTATCACTATCAGGGCTTTGGCTCTAGTTGCTTTGCTTGTTGCAATTAATGCAATAGTGTGTGAATGTAGAGTGGCAAGAAAGGACCTGGGGTTGGACCTTGGTGGGGTGGGAATTGGGGTGGGTGCTGGGGTTGGAATTGGCCTTGGTGGTGGGGGTTCTGGTGCAGGTGCAGGCTCTGGTTCTGGTTCTGGTTCTGGCTCTGGCTCTTCATCTTATTCAAGTTCTGGTTCTTCTTCTTCGTCAGGGTCCGGCTCTGGAGCAGGTTCTGAAGCTGGTTCCTATGCAGGGTCTCATGCAGGATCTCAGGCTGGCTCTGGCTCCTCCAGAGCGGGGTCTGAAGCAGGTTCATACGCAGGGTCTCGTGCAGGGTCAGGATCATACGGTGGTAATGGAAAGTAAAATCGTGCACGTGAGTCAACTATATGAAATGGTGAAAAGAATATGTCAGTGTCATTGTTAATTCTCTAGAATATATTATAAGTCAAGAAAATAAAATAATGTCTTCTTATGCATGTGTCCGTCCATCTTTGATCTTTTTCTTGTTGTATAAGTATAGGAGTCATGTTTATGTCGAATGTGCCATAATATCCTTCAAGTGTTGAAGGGTACTGCTTAATGGTTTATCCGGCGACATTTCTATAATATCAACTATGGCTTATACTTACTACTGCTTGTCTAATCGTATATATTAATTCCTTCTGTTAACTACAAAATTCGGCCATAACCTACAAACTTCATATTTTTATGGGTGACACTAAGAACAGAGAAAGGGCATGTAATATTTTACTAATTCATTACTATTAAGCCTAAAAGTATAAATAGAGGGGAGAGATCCATATAGCAGTAAAGAATTTAGGCGCTCATCAATAAAAATATATTACGAAAAATTCTTAATAAAGAATTGTTATCGAAAAAGGGGATTGAGTAATATCAAGTCAGTCAAAATGTTATCAAATTAAAGATTTAAGGAATAAGAAATCTCGAAATAAAAGAATCTATCCAAGAAAACAAAATATAAAAAAAGAATTTCCAAATGATATCTAGTGTATATCAAGAGGTTTGTAGAGATACTTTTAATTAATTTCTTTGATATATGCATTTACAAGTAATACGTTTTAACAAAGTAATTAGAAGAATAAGGAAAATAGTTATAAAATTTTTTTATTTATTGTTTTATTTATTTATTTTTATTTTTATTTACTTGACGTTTACATGAAAAAAACATAAATAAAAAAACAAGATATTAAAAAGAATTTTCAAGTAATATCTCTTGTGTATCAAGATGTTTGTAGAGACACTTATAATCAATTTATTTGGTATATGCATTTACAAGTGATATCTTTTAATATTTTAAAAAATACTCTGAATTAGAAACAAGTCTTTTCAATAGAGTCTTTTTTTTAATTTCTGTTTATTATTAATAATAAATCAGATTTATCTTCCAATTATTTAATTTCTTTGCGTATTTACTATTAAGCAATTTATTGTTATTTACTATTTGTGGAATTTGATGGAAATATATTATCTTAAATTTTGAATAATATCATGAGGAAAGAATCTACATAATATTTAAATAATTTATTATATAAATTACAGAATTATATTTAATTAAATATATAATGAATCATTTACCCTGTAAACAATTACAGGGATTAAAATATGTCTGCTCGATGTTTTACTGATCTCTTTTCTCTAAACACCGATTTCATCCTAGGTTAAACATATATACGTATTCTTAATGCGATAAAAAAAAAACAAAAAAACAAAAACAAAACTTGAAAATTCAAATTTCAAACAATTTTAGTTGAAGTAGAAAAAATATTATCAACTTTACAAGTTGCAGACCTGATGAATTAAGCCCAGGCCCAAATTTATGTGTCACTGCAGCCACATTACATGCATTCCACATTGTAGTATAATAAGTTGGGAATTGCTATTTAGACCCCATATTTACTGATGCACCCCTTTCTCTAAAAAATTTCATGTCAGAAACTATTTGGATAATATTCTATTCCAGAAAATAATTCCCAGAAGAACTTTGAATTAGACACCCTTTTGACATTCAAAGAGTTCTCTTCTGTGAACATATTCAAGATTATTTGAATCATCTCTTGAGCTCTGACTTTAATTTTATGGTTTCGAATGTGGATGGATAATGGATCATGGTGAAGAGTCTTTGCTCGTGAGATGCACTCAAACTCATCCATGCATGATTTCAGGAAGACTTCGTTTTCATGTGTTTCTGTCTTGTATTTGATTAGGAAATATTAAAATTAGAAGTAACAAAATCGTTTTTCTTTTCTAAATAAACCTAATCGCAAAAGAAATTGCCCATCTAAAGCTGTTGACAAAATATTTATTAAAATAAATCAATTAAATTATTAATTACCAATATTTTAATTATGGAAGAAAATAAAAAATTATATAATATTAGTATTAATTTTGACATAAGAAATATTTTAATATTTGTTAATATATTTATATTATTGATAAATTTAATAATAATAATAATAATAATAATAATAATAATACTAATATTAAATAATTTACTTGTAAAAAATTGAAATTTTACAATGTTAGAAAAATATAATTTATTCTTATTATTAAGTTGAACTTTTATAATTAATTTACATAATAATTTATTATATGTAAAAATATTATGAAAATTACATGTAATATATATATATATATATATATATATATATATATATATATATATATATATATATATATATATGAAAGCAATGAGGGGGAGATTGATGACAATGTAAACATGTCCCTACATTCCTAAAAGATGATTTTGATGATGATTCAAGTCAACAACATTCAAGACTCAAGCAAACTCAGGATATGATTTCGATAAAGATTGTATTCAACATTCAAGCAAACCCAAGATGATTCTTGAAGAATAGATAGAGTCTTAGAATACCTGGATATGGAGGTACAAGTTCATAAAGTAATATTATGCATAAGTCTCCAAAGTACAAGTGTGATAAAATTCATAACATGATATTTTTCACTCGTCATAATCAATTATGATGCATCGAAATGGAAAAAGGATTTTCTCTGTCATAATTGATTATACTGGTAACATAATCAATTATGGCAATTCAAATTTGAAAAATATATTATTTTAAAGAATAAATGTTTTTGAATATATCCTTATTTTTATTCACGAAAATATTAATGTCCAACGACCATTTTCTGATGCTATTTTTCTATTTAATTAAGTTTTGATGAAAAATAAAAAACACATAATTACAGAATTCAAAAATACAATTTACATTCAATTAGTTTTGATAAAAGAATTTTGAGTAAGGCAACAGAGATATTTTAAACCTTCTGAAAAAACTCTCTTCTCTACTGCCTTATGTGTTTTCATTGTTAATCACACTTGTTCTTGGAAATTGTCATTTTACAGACTTCTTCAATTTGTTGTCTTCATTACCCAGCTATGACTATTCTTATCTTACTCCTTCATCCTTTGTGGGTTTAGGAGGTGTTTTCATCCCTTTGATTTGTTCAGGGAGGTGTTCATCCCTAGTGTGATTCTAGGGAGGTGTTCATCCTTAATGGGATTCTAAAGAGGTGTTTTTCATCATTTGATTTGTTTAGAGGAGGTGTTCATCCCTAGTGGGATTCTAGGGAGTTGTTTATCCTTAGTGGGTTTCTAAGGAGGTGATTGTCTTTTTAATTAGTTTACTTTTTACTCGTTCTTTTACTGAGTTGATTGTAATTTGTAAACTGAATTTGAAAGATAGTGAAATGGGAGTCACTCTTGTGTTAAGAGTTGACTGGGAACTGGATGTAGGGTTGGTTATACCCGAACGAGTATAAATCATTGTGTGCACTTCTTTTTCCCTTATCTCTTTCTCTTTTCTTGATTATATTATCGTTTTCGTTTTATCTATGTTCAAACAAATTATTGACTCACAAATAAATTTTTAATTTGACATCTATTAAAATTTGTGCATCTATTCACCCCCCTCTAGATGTCATTTGTCTAACAAGTGGTATCAGAGCTTGGTTAGATAAGATATTTCTAAACGATCTGTCAAGATGGCTATGCAGAATCAAGTTTACAGGGAAGGAGCCTCAATAAACAGACATCCACTATTTGAAGGTGAAGACTATCAGTTTTGGATGACGAGAATGGAAATATTTTTACAAACACTAGATTATGGTGTTTGGGATGTTGTACTCAACGGTCCTTACATTCCAATGAGAAAAGCGAAGTCTAGAGTTGTTCTAAAGACTTTTGACCAATGGACGTCGGATGAAAGTAAGCGTGTCCATTATGATGTAAGAGCCCAAAATGCTATTGTTTATGCCTTAACTCATAATGAATTTTTCAGGGTCTCACAATGCAAGACGACAAAAGAAATATGGGATACTCTTGAAGTAACACATGAAGGAACAAATGAAGTAAAGCGAGCACGTAAGAACACAATCATCCAGGTGTATGAATTATTTCAAATGCAGCAAAATGAAAATATCACGGATTTCCAGACACGCTTCACACATATAGTAAATCACTTGAAAACATTAGGAGAGAGTTTTGACAATGAGGAGTTGAACACAAAAATCTTGAAATCCTTAGAAAGGAATTGGCAACCAAAGGTCACTACTATTACAGAATCAAAGGATCTCACAGAAATGAATATTGCTACTCTATTTGGAAAGCTACGAGAACATGAGATGAAGCTACAAAGGTTAAAGAGTGGTGAACAGAATCAAACCAAGACGATAGCTCTAAAAGTAGAAAAATTTTCACAAGAAGAAAGC